GCATTTTATCCAACGCGTGACGAGAAAGCCCATTATCCTCATTTTTTGACCCTTCCGCAATCTGCATTTGAATTTGCCAAAATTCCAGCAACTGTGACCCCATTAAATCCTTTTTTCAGTTTCAAACGGAGAGAAGAAATTCATGACTGTTGTGCCTCCTTCCTTTGCTTTTTGGACTTGAAATCCTTTCGAATTTTCCTTGTAAAGAGAAGCTGAAGTATATTTTAAAACCCATCTCATTCTTCCCCAATTTTGTTTCTCTATCTAAATCTAAAGGTATCAATGGCGTCTGCAGATGTTGCGTACATATGCTATGTTGGTGGTTTAGTATGGGCTACTATAGACCATTCACTCGAGCAAGCCTTTGCTCAATCTGGAGAAGTCATCGAATCGAAGGTCCGTTAGTCGCAGAGATGGGATCCGTCTCAATTCGGCTTTGTTGACTTCAAGGGTGATCAGTTGATGAGGGACGCGACTGAAGGAATGAACGGTGAGGATCTTGATGGTAGGAATATTACTGTCAACGAGGCTCAATCTCGCGACGGTGGCGGTGGATTCCGTGGTGGTCGCAGCGAGGGGGCCGGCGGCAGCTAGATAAAGGTACATGAACAGCCATTTGATCCCCATCAAAATCTGCATTGAATCCCTTACGCTTTCGGCTACTGGACTTTCGCCATCTAGGGTGCAGCATTCGTGCTGCTTCGCCTAGCAGCACGACGGTGCGTTCCGAGGTGTGAAGTGGGAGAGAAGGGATGTCATAATCGGGGGCCGTCGAGATGGAAGCTACAAAGGACAAAACGGTGGTGGATATGGCGGCAGCCGTGTTTACACTAGAGGCGGTGGTGATTCCGAAGGCAACTGGAGGAATTAGGCTTAGGGTTAAATGTTCTGTTCGTGATTTCGTTTGAAGGAGCCACTCAAATCCTCTTTAGTTGCTGCCTTTTCTCTTTTTCCAATAGACAGTAGCCCGGAAAAATTCATATTTTCCGGCGGCCTTTTTGAACGTGGTAATAACATGGTTAACGTATCGTTTCCCATAGACGGCGCCAATGATACTACCAAAAATTGTACCTGAAAGAACTCGAATGGGATGCTTGAACTTCGCACGAACTGATCTTCCGTACCGGAAACAAAGGCTGTGAGGTGGGCTCTCGTCGCTCCTCCGATACTTAAGTCAGGAAGAGGAATTGAGCAAAGAGTTGTATGCTGAAAAAAATTTAAAATCGTACATGAATAATGAGGTTTAATGTTGTATTTATAAACGTTGGAGTTGGAGTCCTAAAAGGATCCAACTGCCTACCGTCATTATCACGTAAGGTGTTTGTATTATGTTATACATTGGAATCAAAATTGTAATACGTTAGCAATTTGTACTTGAATAGAAAGCGTTGGGAGTTACAATTAAAGGGAGATTGCTATAATAACTAAATAGATTTAGCCCCGACCTCTCGGTGACCCCCGACCTCATCCCTTGTGGATTTGAGGGGGACCAAGGTCGGGCCTTAAAGGTCGAGTTCGGGGTTTACGTATTTGGGCACATCACACAGATATCTAGTTCGATTCCAGATTATTCTTTGTATTGAACTTCAAACAACTTACTTGATGTGGCAAACGATGGAAAAATATTATGACTAATCAAATATCCAAAGAAAAATGGTATATCCGAACTTCTGTTAGTGATTGTTGTCTAAGTACAGGCAGACGACACTAAAAAAATTAACAGGTTTCTCTCCAGAGAACTACTGGTAAAGCAAGAATAGGTGCATGCTATCCACTGATAAATTCATATCAGCATTAAATTGTCATGAGATATGAAAATCATCTGGACAATCTTCTCCATGAAGTCACTGTATAAAATATTAATGACCTTTTTCAAGACAATACATTTTAAAATAAGCTAGTTTCAGTTATCAGCCATCTAACGGTGTTATAGGGCAGCTTTTGAGAGAGGGGGGGGGGGGGGGGGGGGGGGGGGGGGGGGGGGGGGGGGGGGGGGGGNAACCTCGGATGTAAAGCTTGATGTACCACTAGCATAGTCCTTCCCAATATAAACCACTGCATCGATGCACTGACTAGTGGAAACATGCATATCCAGCAATGGATAAAACAATAATCATGAAGTGCAAATCCTAACAAGACGTACACGTTGCAATTGCACAATGGACTGCATCGCCATCATGAGTTGATATTAAAGTAGTTTCATATGCAGTTATTTAATGCATTTCCATGCTAACAATACAATGCTTCTTCAAGTACAAAGTCTAGAAATAGGAATGAACATAAATCGATCATATAAAGATAATATGCATAAGAATATTAAAGCATTTAAGCATTCATATATTTTTTCTTAAAATATAAGTTTCCCTCTGACACCAATATTTCCATATACAATCTTATGCCGTCTATGTAGCATCTAATAGTGAAAACTATTAACAGCAAATCTTACTTTCCTTTATAAAACTCATCCTTTCCCACTTAGAACCTCTAAATCGATGCACTGACTAATGGACACTTTCATATCCAGCAATGGATAAAACAATAAGCTAAAGTGAAAATCCTCACGAAATGTACACGACGCAATTACACATTTCCATTATGATCTGGTATTAAAGTTTCATATGCCCACATTTCAAAAATCGAAAACATTGAAATAAACTTGAAAACAATTCAATGCTTTAAGTGCAAAGTCCAGAAATAGAAATGAACATAAATCGATCACATATAAATTATATGCATAAGAATATACAATCATTTAAGCATTCATATATTTTCTCCTTAAATTATAAGTTTCCCTCTCAAACCACTGTTTCCATATACTCTTATGATGCGTATCAAAACTATTAATAGCAAATCTTACTTTTCTTTATAAAACTCACCCTTCCCACTTAAAACCTCCACATCGATGCACTGACTAATGGACACACGCATATCCAGCAATGTAAAACAAGTGAAAATCCTCACATGACGTACACATTGCAATTATACAATGGATTGCATTGCCATTATGAGCTGATATTAAAACAGTTTCATATGCTACACATTCAATACATTTCCAAGATCGGTAATATAGAAATCAACATGCAAACAATACAATGCTTCTTTAAGTGCAAAGTTGAACATGAATCGACAATATCTAATATGCATAAGAATATTAAAGCATTTAAGGTTTCATTTATCTTTTCCTTAAATTATAAGTTTTACTCTCAAACCACTATTTCCATATACAATCTTACGACGACACTATGAGTTTTCAGCCATGGATTCTGTGCAATGGCAAGGAGATCAGACTACAAAGGCCAGCAAAAGGGAGGTTAAAGAGTTGACCTTGGTACAAGATGACACTATAAATGAAAATTGTGAACTCAATAGAGAGCTCGGATGAAAATTCGAGGCCTCAATTTCTCGGCTCTCTCTAATCTTGGGTTCCATACATCCCTATCTATAAAGGGTTATTTTACCCACTCCCTATCTCCCATTGCAACCCCATGCAAACATCCAAAGAAAAATGACAAATGCACAACAACAAATAAGAAGAGAAACACATGAATTATTTTCCGTATCATTAAACTACTTACTAAATTACACTCAAGATCTTAATTTTTAAGCTATAGATGCAATCTTTTTAATAAATCTAATCTCTTTATGAAAAGAGAGAATGTAATAGTGTAAGTAGTTAACAACAACCCGTGAGAAAAAGGATGGCTGGTGTAGTGGATATAAAGAAATGCCAGCCAATGCCATTGCATTCATCACCAAGAAATTCAAACCCCACATTCTGACATTCATCATCGACACTCTATTAGAAGCAAAATTTTGCAACTAAAGTTCCTTCATGGCACACTATATTACTCAAATCTTTTTAGTTTTTATTATGGAATGGCCACTGCAGAGTTTCGGCTACCCACCATATGTCATCCATCAACATTCAACACTAAAAAGTTAAATCAATACTAGTACAAACTGTAAAAATCAATTCTTTTACACCACTGCTTCACAATTACATTAGTCGTACTTCATTAAAACTTCTCATTCCTTCTCACCTTAACACTGTTAAACACAATTACTCCAAACATTTTTGAAATGGAAACCAGAACTGTACAGTTTATAAAATTGAAACCTTATTCTTGAATATGTGAAACCCAAATAGACACAATTCAAATACTTTATACCAAACTAAAATCCAACCCGTTCCCAGAAGAAAAAAAGACATTAATAAAATTAAAAGCTAAAAAGAGAAATAAGAGAAAAGGAAGTTGAAGAAATTTACTTGACAGGTGATTCCAGAACTACCCCAAAGAACACAATTGAAAGGTGCCAGCATATCTTGGTAAATAGTCTGCCGAAGGGGATTCCTTTTAGGTCCCCAACGACAGCGTTTGGGGATATAGCACAGGATTGATAAGGGTTTTCACCAAAGTCGCATACTCAAAAATAAATAAATAAATAACTAAACAAAACGGACTGGGCCTGGGCCCAGAGTTCAGTGCAGGCTGATGCCTGCACTGGACTCTTCATGGCTCCGCCCCTGGATGAAACAAGTGCAAATCCTCACAAGACGTACACGTCGCAATTGAACAATGGACTGCATAGCCATTATGAGTTGATATTAAAGTAGTTTCATATGCTGTCATTTAATACATGTGCAAAATCGAGAACATAGAAATCAACATGCAAACAATACAATGCATCTTTAAGTGCAAAGTCTAGAAATAGAAAAGAACATACCTCACTTACAGAAAATATGCATGAGCATTAAAGCTTTTAAGCACTCATATATTTTCACACCAAAATCCTCATTTTTTCAGGGAACGAAGATGAACCAAAAATCGTATCAAACAACAAATAAACAGGCCATATTCAAAATGTTAGAGAAGCAATATATATTAACTGTACACCACATATCTATTAACCAAATTACATTCATCCTTGTTCAACAAATCCAAAACATTCAATAATAATTGCCCAATAATTTAACCAAAATAGTAATTCATTACTTCACCTTAGATCCCGACACGGCACTGCTTCTGCACACTGGTTAACATTCCGGAACTCCCATTACTCGGAATCCCAACAACCAAATCCCCGCAAAACACCTTCAAAAACCTTTTTCTCGTCCTCCACGCCTTCGCTTCAAACTTAACCCTAGAAATCACCCTCAGATTGAATCCCACGTTCCCATTTTTGCTCCTATCCCAATTAATCCCATCCACTACCCTCTTATCCACATAACTCCCAGCTGCAGCGAAATTCGCCTTTATAGAAGTTTCATTTTTGGTATCTTGGTGAAACGGAGGAATGGTGGTATCAGCAAGAGAACCTGATTTGTAAAAAACTTCAGCCTCAATACGATCGTAATCAAGTTTCATTTTCTTATTCGGGTTCCGGGCGGTGAGCCGGGCCTCCGAAGTGAACGAGACTAGAGAATTATTACCGACGGTGAGATTAGAAACGGAGAACGAGTCAACTCGGAACTCAGGGAGCTGGGGGCGGAGGACAAGCCAAACAATAAAAGTGATGGTACCCAATATGATAATAAGCCCAATAATAAAGGCGAAGATGCGGCGGAGACAGGTGGCGCGGCGGGCGGAGTTTGCGTCCTGGTAGTAATTCTGCTGGTTGTAAGGGTTATTCTGGAAACTGTAGGAGCCGGTGGTTGGGGGAGGGGCGGCGTAAGGGTAGGCGGTGCCGGACTGCGGTGGATTGGCGTAACCGTTGGGATTGTGATTATGGGCGGCGGCGGGATAGCCTGTGACAGGTCTATTGGGGTCTTCCATGGTCGTAGATTATAGAAACATGTGGGGGATGTTTTGGATTTATGGGAGTGTACGTGCTTAGGTCGGCAAAGAATCAAAACTGACACACACTCTCTGCGTGTTTTTGGAGTATCTTAAGTGGACTCAGTGAGTAAACTCGACGTCAAAATTAAATAATAAATATTTACAAAAATATTCCACCTTGAAATAGAGCATGATAGCTTATTAATGAAGCGCTCTTGCTTCATCTCTATAACAGTAGAATGTCTGACAGAACAAAATCAAGAACTAAGCAATCATAATTCATTAATAAAGAGTCAAGAATCAGGAGAAAAAACAGAACAATCAATTTCTCCAGTACTAATCAAGAGATTCCCTTCTACATTATTTGTGAATTCCACTTTCAAATTCTTGCACAGAACTTGAACTGATTTTTCCTGGTTAATCCATTTTCCAGCTCTAAACCACGCCACTCCATTCATTTTCACATCAAAATTCACTTGTTTTTTGCTGAAATCCATCTTCATTTTCCCTCTTTTAATCCCACCATTAATCCATTTCACCTTCATTCTTTTTCCACTACTCAGAGAAAAATCCTCCACAAAACCCCTCGAAATCTCGCAGTTTTTGTGTAATAAAACAACCTCAAAACCCGAAAACCGAAGGTTTACTTTCCAGCTTGGATTCTCCACTGTGAACTCCATTGAAATGCTGGCATTTGATACAGAGAGGGATTTGACGTGAAATTCCGGCAGGCTGGGATGGAGAATTAGCCATACTATAAGGCTGAATGCTGTGAGTGCTAGTAGCAGTAGAATCAAAGTAGTGCCCAGACACCGTACTAGCTTCGTCACTGGGTCTTTTATCGGCCCTGAGTTTTCGATATCGCTGGAGTTATGCATTCCAAAACCAGGGTCGGTTGTACGAAATTTAAAAGAGTGATGGAGTAAATAACTTGTGTGTTGATGAATGGGGCGACAGAGGACATGAATGTATATATACTGAATTAAGGTTTCTTAGAAATTAAGTTTCCTTTAATCTAGTTTGTGGTCAACTTTGCCGTCTTTGGAAAGAGGTTAATGATCAGTTGGGCTTGAATGTACGCCGTAGGCTTTTCAAATTTACCTTTTAGAACGTTCTATAGCAAAATTTCTTCTGATAGTACATTTCTGTTATGCTTAAAAGTAAAATTTGACTTGCCTTTTTAAGTTAATTAGGGGTGAAAGAAGTAAATAGGTAGAATTTTGGAGAAAATGGTGACAATTGACCCCAGTTTAAATCCACCCATTCTCAGAACTTGAAGTGAACATCGTAAACACTTAGTCTTGAGCTCGACTATGACCAACTTGTCAGTTTTTATTGGACTTTGAGATTCCATCCTAAAAAGTTAAAATCATCTAGACGGGTAGCTCAAACTCTTATATAGTAATTACTTCTTTTATTCATAACCCATGAAAAATTTATCTTCGGGTCTTGTAGCCAAAACCTTCCACGATTGACACAATGTTGTATACTAACACTCAAAAAAGTAGCTTTCAATATCTCACTGCTTCGGTTAATCACTTGAGTCCGGATAAATATTCGGTGCCATGAAGCTAGACCATGCCCAACTTTAGTGGACTGTAGCCTCTAATTTTTTTTTTTTTTTTATATATATAGTTAGTCTCTCGATAAATTTAGATTCGACCACATGCTTCACTTTCACCATTTCAATTTTTGGCTACAGCTTATGCAATGCAGAGTGAACCTCAGTTTCCCAATCATCTTACTAATGTCATGTTTGGTAGCCATTTTCAACAAATTTTAAGGAAAAAAATGACCGCTCAAGAATATTTGTGGGTCCCACCTGTGAGAGGGGAAGTCAAAAAAGACGGCTGACTCTGATTTGTGACGGCCAAAAAATTCATTTTTTTGGACTGAAAAAATGGCTACAAAACAGGAAATAATAAAAGATAAAAGTACCATGGTTTCTACACAGTATACTTACATTTGCCATATGATATTATTTCAACTGTATAATACTACTGTATACAATATACTGCACTGAAAGAATTAAAAAAGTAAAAATAACAGAAATCAGGTCCTTCAGTTGAAAAATCAGCTAGACAGAAGGCTTGAACAATTAGAATATAACTACCAAATAAGGAAGAAAAGAGAAAATTACCAGCATTTACGAATTTCGTCCACTGTCTTCGAGCATCATTCCTTTAAGACTTTTAGCCAACCAGATAGCCGTATCCCTTGGAGAAACTTTTTCTTTTCCAAAAGGTTTCAACATGACAGAAAGTTCTTCTAGTCGATGCTGCTGAAGCAAGTCGGCAGACAATTCGAGTAGCCCTTCAAGTGCCTCGGCTCTCTGTTTGAAGGAGTTCACGTCTAAAGTTTCCTTCACTAGTGATTCTTCAGGTGCAGCAAAAGGCTTAATTTTTGCTGGTTCTGATGAATCTGATTTTGGAACCATGGGAACGGGATTATCGGAAATCGAGTCTATTTCCTTGTTGACAGGATTTTCGTAACTCACGTTTTCAGAGAAACTAGATGATTTTGGAGCAGGAGAATGAGCTGGAATTTTTATATCAGGTTCATCGGTCACCACATTTACCAGTTTCCCAACATCCAGATTTCTCTCCACATTTTGGATTAGCGGCGGCTCACTGCCAACTCGGAAACTACTGTGACGTATCACGTGTATCACCTCATCAAAAGAAGGTGGGAAATGAGTACCATCCAGCTTTTCTTTAATTGCATTTTGCGAAACAACTCCATTATCCGACAACAAAGACTTCTGGCTCAACGAAACAGGAGAGGCAGAGGAAGGAGAACATTCTGTTGCTGGAGAAACAAGTTTCTTCACCATAAAATTGTCATCATCACGGGATGCTGAAGTTAGGTTTGACCGAGCCACATGATTAGGATTGTCCTTTTCACCTGCAACTAGTTTCTCAGGAACATGTATCCCCATGGTTATGTTAGAACTCATGTTCCCATCACAATTTTCAGCATCCGTAACTCGATAGTCTGAGCACTCGAATGTTTCAGAGGAGATTCCGATAGAATTAGACTTATTTCCATGATTATCGCTAGGTGGATTTTCGAGCCTTTCAGAGTGTGACAAGGAAGATGTGTAACAGCTGGGTTGAGACTCAATGTTCCCAGTTGCGGTGGCATGATGGTGACTGGATTTACGGTTACATCCTTTTTCTCTACATAGATCTTCTAGCCTCTCCAAGGGTGACGTCGAAGATGTACAACAACTGGGTCGAGACTCAATGATCTCTGTTTTAGTGGCTTGATGATGACTGGACTTATTGTTACTTACCTGAGTTTCTCTACATTGATCTTCTAACCTTTCCGAGGGTGGCTTTAAAGATGTGTAACAACTGGGTCGAGACTCAGTGATATCAGTTTCAGTGGCTTGATGATGACTGGATATACCGTTACGTACCTGAGTTTCTCTACATTGATCTTCTAGCCTTTCCGAGGGTGAGGGTGGTGAGGAAGATGAGTAACAACTGGGAAGAAACTTTATTATCTCAGTTTCAGTAGCGAGATGATGACTGGATTTATTACGTTCCCGAGTTTCTCTACATTGATCTTCTAGAGCTTCTGAGGGTGATGAGCAGCTTGGTCGAGACTCGGTTTCAGTGGCTTGATGATGGCTGGATTTATTACATCCCCGAGTTTCTCTTGATTGATTTTCTAGCGCTTCTGAAGGTGATGAGGAAGATGTGTAACAGCTTGGTTGAGACCTGATGACCTCAGTTTCAGTGGCTTGATGATGACTGGATTTACAGTTACTTATGTAATTTTCTCTGGAAAGATTTTCTAACCTTTCAGAAGGTGAGGAAGAAGAGCCAGAATATCTTGGCCCAGATTCAAGAATTTCAATTTCAGTCACTTGCTCACGACTGCAAAGTAAGCGTTCAGGCAAGCTAATAAAAGGAGTTGATGCATCATAACAGAGTTCAAATCCTTGTATCGACACTGAAGAGGATGCAGAATTGCTGCTGTCCGCCTGCACTCTTTTAGACACTGCGGATGCAGTCTTTTCCGAGTTCTTCTTCACAGTTTCTCTCGGAGTGTGTGGACGACAACCGTATGGCACAGAATCCAGAGTACTTTCAGTTTCCTGAGTTTCACTATGTCCCACCTTCATGTTATTGTCCGTCCTATTTGGAGAGTCACAGTTCACTTGCCTCATCCGTCCAGGAAATGGAGGCCTTTTCACTAGGGTCGGAGGGGTTTTCTGTCTAGTCTTTGTAGAGAATACATCTTCGGCAATGACCTTTACAAGACCAGATGGAGGGGTTCCCTCATGTCTAGGTTTAGTCTTGGGAGGGGTTTCCATGATAGGTAGCTGCAAATATAGTGTGTTGAGATAATTCAGACAGCGTGTTTGGCCACTTACAAGTAAATTTACTAATAAATAAATAATTCCGTATCGATCAAAGTTAGATATAAGTACTTACTCTAAGAATAACTAATATTTTTTTTTACTCAAAAGTACGAAAAGTAACATCCAAACATGTTAGGAAACAAAAATCTACCAAAAAGAACAACTTATTTCCAACTCTGAGTTCTAAAGAGTTTTATGTCTAGACAAGAGAATAAAGTTCCAGTACCTGGTGCTTTATAGAATGTGTTGCTCGTATTCTTTTGGTGGAATCCGAGTTGGCCTTTACTAATGCAGCAGGTGGTATCTCTGAATTAGCCTTAAAACCAGGATTCACCAAACCTGGCTTGGTGATTTTCATAGATGCTTCGACAAAAGATTTCTGGTTACCCAAATTGCTTACTTTCCGGTTGCTTCTCACGGGAGAGCTGTCTTCTCGCGCTTTTCCTTCTTTCAGAGAAATCATAATATTTTTGATCGTTCTCGGTTGCTTAGGTTCAACGCTACATCTCTGTTCCTCGTGCAATGGCTTCATAACTTCGTGGCGCTTTATAGTTGCAGAGGAAGAGTAATTTTTCTGTTGGTCCTTCTTTATCTGAAGCTGACCAGAGTTGACATCATCATTGAGGGAAGCCGAATCCATATCTGTGGCTTTATGTTCACAATTGACAATAACTCCCTGCACATTTTTTTCACACGACAGTAAACTATCTCTGTCACTGCAAGAACTGTTACTGCTTTGGTTTTCGGTAATACTCTTTCTAGTGTCACGAGTCCCAGAAAGAGGCTTTCCAGGCGCAGGAGGACTATAAGAGGGGCGGAACTGGTCAACATAAGGCTGTAAATATGGGTGCTTTAAGATTTCGGATGCCTAATAAACATGAAAACGGAAAGTTATAATGATATCCTTGTAAATAAAGAAGTACATGAATAACTTACAAACTCGTACTGAAGTTCTTACACTTGGCCGACGTTCAGGGTTTTTTCTTAACATGCCTTTGATTATAGTTTTCCTGCAAATAAAACGTGTTTCACATTATATCACAACACACTACAGCACCATACAATTGTCATACCACAATGCAAATTAAAAACATCATCCCCTTAAAAAGTACCATTAAAATGCACCATAAAAAGAAGGATCTCAAAAAGAACAAATCTTTCATGCACCAGAGTGTTTAGCAATTCATCAAGAACACTTTTAAAAATTTCAAAGTGCAACCAAGAATGGTTGGACGCCCAACAGAGCGTATAAATGTCAAAGTAAACTGCAAATCAGCCAGAAAGAGCCTCAAGGTAGAGGTGTTAAGCAGGCTGTGCCCGCTCTGGGGTGTTCTAGTACCGCCCACCCCTTTGCTGCTAAAGTCTAATGGAAAAACTATAAATCCGACCAAAGAAAAGGCCAAAGCAACTGATCACCAAATATATAATAGCTCAAACAACAATTGTAATTTTTCACCACCTATAATGAAATGCGAGTAATGAAGAGCACGAGGAAAGGCAAACAGCTGGCCTTTAAGCACGTAGCACAGAGGACAAATGTACAAGAGAAATTATATTAATAAATATAATTATGACCATGGAAATAACAATTGACTTACAAGGATGGGGAGTAACAGGAAGGCAAAGGGCCAATGGATGAGCGATTGATCTTGCTTATTAGTCCTGCCATGTCCTGAAACATAAATGCCACTATCAAGAATGACGAAGTACTTAAAATGAGTGAGAAACCCATACTGCTGAAAAACAACATGCAGAAACCAATTTTATAAACACATGAATGTGCTTATATATGGTTAAATTACACACTCATGCAAAATAAACAGAGAGATGAGGAAAAAAAAGGAGAGACTCATACTATTTAAGGGAAAAAGGAAAAACATAAGAGGCAAAAATAAAAATAAAACAAGGACACAAAGACTCACAAATGCCTTGAATGCATGACGATGAGCAGCCATTTCATATATACAGCAACCTGATTGAAATATTAATGGGAGAAGTAAGAAGGAAAATAGGTAAAAGATACATATATCAAGGATCAGGTTTGAGGGCAGTAACTTTGAGCAAATAACTAGTTATGTCCATAGGCTATAAACATCTGCCATGCTCAAAAGTTGAATAAAAACATAGAAACCACTGTGTAGAATCATCTCATGAGATATTCAGATCACAAATGGATCAATTACACTCCATTGAGCTTTGATAAGATTGCACAAACAGTCGTCTTATGAATAAATTGGAAACACTTCTAAATATCGAAAAGAGAATATATAAGAATAGACATACCAAGGGACCAAATATCGGATTTAAAACCATATGGAATATCTGCAAGAAGTTCAGGGCACATGTAATTGGGAGTTCCAACTACCTGGTCAAGAAAAAAGACAACGAATAACTTCGCAAACGACCTTACACTCAAGTCAGAAAATTTAATTATTTGAGTATACATTGGTTGAAATACCCTACTGCAGGAGAAGGACCTTTTTCTGCGACAATTCTTTGATAAATATAAATTTTATCTAAGATCATAAAGCAAACCTTTTTAATCCGAGGGACAAAATGGAGTTAATGTTAGTTTCGAAGACATTCATCTTGGATAGAAGAAGTTTCTAGATATAAATGACGCCTTTTAATGTAGATACTTTCTATATTTCTTTGCTGGGATAAAATTATTTCAATTTAGTCCTAGAAAAGGACTTGTGCAGCTAAGAAGCATTCTTTCAGAAAAGTAATGACAGCAAGCCATCTAAAATGAGCTTTTTGCGTACAGTCACATTCATTTTTTCACAGAAGGACAAAAAGGTACAACTTTTGCACTGAATTGTTAGAACTCGAGATTATAACAAACAAGATTGCAGGTTTTTTTTCCTCAAAACTCTGCAGTGCTATCTGATACCTACCAGATATGCCAATAGGTCTAAAGATTTCTTGTCCTCCTCTATGAAATATACGTAAATCCATTAATTGTATATTGAATACTTTAAAACTGAACATGCAAAAACACTGAATCTAGTCTTCTCAAGTATTATTTAACTTCACCAGGGAACAAGGGGGCGGGTAATATTTATACTAACAGCACGTACCGAAGAAGCCAAATCATCTGCCTCCAGAGTTTTAGCAAGTCCGAAATCCCCTGCAAAAGTAGAAGTCATGAACGAAGAAGATTATTCAAACCAGAGAGGAAGGCTGTTTTAAAGTCAATAAAAGAAATGCAAACTCACCTAGACGAATATCTTGATCTTTTGTAAGAAAGATATTGGAGCACTGCCAAGAGAAAGTGACATGAAAATCAATAAATAAAATCATTTTGAAAGAAACATAAATAAATCACTAAAACGGTATTCATAAACATACTTTCAGGTCTCGATGCAGAACAAAATTTGAATGCAGATACTCGACTGCCAACAATAGTTCAGCAAACCATTTCAAGAGTTTCTGCACAGAGAACATGATTAAAAAAGAAAAGGTGAACTGTGCGCGAAGTTATTGGAGCTGATGAAAGGAAAAGCAAAATCCTCTATCTTGAAAAGAAATTGTATATTTATCATAAGTGCTGTTAAAAAAGTATTTAAGAGTAAAACTGACACCTCCTCGGGAAAGAACTGCCCATTTGATTTTTTCATAAGTTCAGCCCTGATAAAGAACAATTATAAATAGCTTGTAAAAAGTGAAAGAAAAAAATCTAACCAATAACATGATATCATTGTTGAAAGTTTCATTCAACAATACTTACATGTCGCCACCCTCACAATAGCCAGTAACTATACAAACGTAGCATCCCTACATTAGCATTTTGCAATAAAGAGTTCAGTTGGGAAAAAATGCTAAGAATATTTTCTAAGAGAGAGAGAGAGAGAATAAAATTGCAGCAGTAAGTAGAAGTTTCCAGGCTCTTACCTTCTCTACCCATGCTTCCTTGAATTCGACAATGTATGGATGTTGTACCCGTGCAATTAGTGCCATCTATAAATTAAAATTTCCCGAGCACTTTTAAACTTTCGTAGTTAATAATAGTATGCAACTATGCATTGGAACATAAATATGCAATATAGGGTAGCACAATAAAAGAGAAAACTGGCAGTAAATATCCATCTTGAGACTTTTCATTGATATAAAAGAGAACGAAGGATAGATCAATACAAAAATTCACTAAATCAAGCTGAGCAAAAAATCACTTTTAGACCATTAACCGAGTGAATTTTTGTAAGTCATGTCACAATTGCTCCACATATAGTTCCTTGAACCACATTTTCTAAACGAACCAAAGCCAATCCAAATTGATCTTGTAAAAGATCCGAGAGACCAGGACAAGGGCAGGAGCCTAAAGTATCGAAAAGGCAAGGACTCCAAGAAGAAGCCAAGTCTGCGGCCAAGAACAGCGAGCTCAAGATCAGGAGCCAAAGCGGACCGAGAAGAAAGACGGCTAAAAGTTTTAATTGAATACACCGTGACTTTTTAAAAGCTATAAAAGTCTCAATTGAATACACTAATACTTTTAAAGAGTCTTAAAAAAATCTACATTGAATACCCCTAAACTTTTTAAATCCTAAAATGTCATTAAAAGTCTGAATACACCCCACCAAACCAAATTACTCGAAAAAAATATCAAGATTTCCAATATCAATAACATGGCTATCTAACAGAATAATTATTACCAAATACCAAACAAATTCCTTAGTCATAAAAATTTAACATTTATCATGAAATCTAAATAATTATCAAAGGTAAAAGCAATAACAACATTAGTATACCTCTTGATGAGCACATCTTCTGCAATGCTCTGTTTGTCGAGCCAACCGAATCTTCTTAAGCACATACCTATTTTCATTTCCAAACATCAGGAAAAAATTGTTAGATTGTTGCAGACTTAAAAAACAGTTTTTTTTTTTTTTTTGCAAAATAATACCAAAATGAGTGGATCTAATGTAATTTTATATGACATACTTTTTTCTTTCTAGCTTGTGATTGACCAAAATGGCTGCCCCAAAAGCTCCACGACCAATTTGCTCCATGATCTCATACTGATCCATTCTTGATTCCATCAGTCACCGATTTTGAATCTCAAAACCCTAAAGATCTTACTGCATTAATGCATAGAGAGCCCAGAAAATTGTAATCTTGACTGGTCTGTTCTCGGGATTAGTATTCAAAATGAGCATTAAGTTCTTGAAATCAAAAGGGCTTTTTGTAGGCACTCAAGAAATGAGTCTTTTATGGTCGATCAAGAAAAGCAAAAATGTGAGCTTGGAATGGGAGATTTGTTATTAAATAATTATCAGTCTTTTATGTGTCTGAAATATATGAAAGTTACAGGTTTTTATGGAGAGAAGACGTACAGTGTAGACTGTAGAGTAGATTATTTTATCTTCTTAATACTCAATTAATTGTAACTTAAAACATAAAATTCTGCTGCTAATCATAATTGAGGAGCAGTAGTTTTAGGTACAACTTTTAACTAATTTTTCTTCATCTTCCAAAGTTTTAGTTTTAGATTATTTAAAAGTCACATTATTATTTCAAAAATATTTTTTCTTACACGTTAACATAATAAAATATTTTGTACATAAATTCAAAATTTTTCTTTATTTTTTAGTCACACATTCTTCAAATAATACGTAAATTTGAGTCCCGCGTCATCGAAATTTTCAATCTTGACTATAAAATTGTAATTTGATAATTATAAAATGTGTAATTAAAAAATAATGAAAATTTTTAAATTTATGTGTAATATTATTTTATAAAAAAAATATTTTAAATTGTGATTTTTAGGAGAACGCGTTATTAAAAAATAAATGAATAAAAAAAATTAAGTAATGGCTGTCAAACGTATGCCGTACTCCGTGCCGACAAAATCAGCTGCTCTTCAAATGATCAAGTGGGGCCCAACTCAATCATAGCCATCAGTAGAACTAATTTTGGCCGTAGATCTATGAGAAGTAATTGTTTTTTCCCAATTACGAAAAGTTGGCTCAATAAAGTAGAATTATCACTTTTAGTTGAGTACTTGTAGGGTAGGGTGTATTAATTTCAGTGTCTATAATGGCACGTGCTTCCTCGCATCATGGCTTGTGTAAATTTACTTATAAATTACTTTTTTTGTTAAATATAATTTCAACACAAGGTGAATATTTGTCAAAAATAATTTACTTAAAAGTTTAAATTACATTTAAGGTTAAAGCCAAAGATACCCTAAACAGCATGATTTTCAGTTAGTGCTAGTAATAAAATGATGCGCGCATGGAGATTTGGAATGAGTGAAAATTAAGTAGGTAGGTAGATTAATTATATAGTTTGAAAAAAGTTACCAACTTTTCTTGAAAATTTTACTTGCTTTCTATTCTTAAAAAATCTCAAAACCATTATATTATCGGTCTTTCCTAATATAACGTTTTTCTATACTCACCTCCTACATCATTGTCCCTACAAACTCTCGAGTTGAGATTAAAATTGTCCCGAATTTAACACACGACACATTGTACCTTGGAAGTCTTCCAATTTGCTAAAAATATGTGATATGTTTAGATGTCAAAAATATTAGAAGACCGACCAGTTCAAAATAACATATTTGAACTCCAAACCTCCACCCCTCTCAACTCCCAAGTCATCGTCGTCCCCAACCCCCCCACACCACATCGTTGCCCCAACTCCACCACCACTATATCCCTACCTAGCCCTCCCACTAGCAAGCCAATCACCAATCCTCGTTGCAACCCTGTCCTAGGACATCACACTACTGTGTCATTGCCCCATCTCTGCCACCACTGCCAATGCCAACCACCATCCCCAACCACAACTCTAAATCCAACCCTTCTAGCTCCATCCTCCCCTAGTCTCCACCATTTCGTCACTCGACCCAAATTCTTTCACACGTGCAAAATATAGCGACTCTCACAATATTGTGATTTTTAACATACTTTATGATGTTTGGAGATTGTACCTTTTCTGCATGCGAAAATTTCCAAACATATATTTTTTTTTCATAACCGTAAATGTCCGGGTTAGCTTGCGTGCACCTCGACTAATCCCAATGGGCAAAACCAACAATAGGCAAATTTGCTCAATTTCCTCAGATATTCGTATTCCACAAGGGCCTTACTTTTACAGTCAAATTGATAAGGGGTTAGGGGAAGAAGGTCAGACTCATCAGAGTAAAGTAGGGGGCCTCAGGGGCGGCGAGGTTGCAGAGGGTGGAAAGAAGGGAGAAGCAGCTTGTGCGTTAGGGTTAGATTTTTTCCAAACATAAACTCATCAGTAACAATGTTTTTCTTCAAAGGTATCCAATATTAACGAATAAATATAGACATGCATTCCTCATCTCAGAAATTGAAATCGTAATATTTATTGAAGTCGACTTCTGGAGCATACTCAAATATCCTCAGCTCAAGCGACAATTGCTCCAACATCTCGTATATATGTTCTGCATCGTCATGAGATTTATCACCAGCCACGAATTCGTGGATGACACCATCGACCTCAATCGAACTGATTCCAAGTCTCTTTTGTATCCCGAGTTCTTTCATTTTCTTCCTCACATTACTCGCCCCACGCCAACTTCCTAACGCTGCATATATATTCGAAAGCAGCACATAGTTAGAATCTCCACTGTGATCCAACTCATAAATATAATTCATCAATCTTTCAGCCAAGTTGATATCTCCATGTGTTCTGCACGCTGCAAGCAAAGATCCCACCACAACTTCATTTGGCCTCATAGGCATTTTCTTGATCACTTGCAGTGCATCAGACAGCCTTCCTGACCGACCATAGAGATCGACTATGCAACCGTAATGTTCAATTCGTGGGGTGATTTTATAGACTCGTTTCATTGTGTTGAACAACTCCAACCCCTCATTCACCAAACCAGAGTGGCTACACGCAGTAAGAGCTGCAGTAAAGCTTACTCCGTCGGGCTCAAGGCCATCTTTTTGCATCAAATCAAAATACTCTAGGGCCTCCTTTGCATTCCCATTAGTTGCCAAGCCCACTAATAACGAGTTCCACGAAACTAAGGTTCGCTTAGGCATGTTTTTAAACACTTGACACGCCAATTCAACACATCCACACCTACAATACATATCTATCAAGGAATTGTTCACTCGAATATTATCTTTGAACTCATGATTCATCACAAACCGATGCAACCATAGGCCTAAACCAAGAGTGCCCAAATTTGACACTGCAGAGAGCACCGAAACCATGGTCACATAATCGGGCTCCATACCCGACAATAGCATATCTTGAAACCACTCCAATGCTTCCTCGAACCTCTCCTTTTTCACAAACCCACCAATTAATGCTGTCCAAGACACCTCATCTCTCTCAGGCATTTCATCGAACAGTTGCATTGCCTCTACAAACTCCCTATTCCTCATGTACCCATCAATCATAGTATTCCAAGACACCTTATTCTTAGCACCCATATAATCAAAACTCAACCTTGCACGACCCAACTCACCAAACTTCGAGTACATGTCAACCACAGTTGTGCCTACCATCACATTGTGAGTATCCATCCCAAGTTTTCGAGCATACCCGTGAAGCGAAGGACCTAAAGTTCGAGCTTGTTGGGATGGAAAACGGGCACAACCAGAAAAAAGAGTGACGAAAGTTATGTCATTGGGCTCGACGCCGCAGAGCCGCATTCGTGTGAACTCAGAGGTTGCTTTTGATAAATGGCCATTCTTGCAGTGGTGGGCTATTGATGAGGTCCAGGAGGCTGTGGTGGGTTCAAGAGCAATATTAATTTTAATGCATTGGGTGCTTTTCCTGTGGTGGGAATTTGTTGGACTCGTACTGGTCGGGCTCGACAGGAAATGTTGCGGTGGCGGCGGTGGAGGGAGTTGTTGAGTGGTGGTTGGATTGGCTGAGAAGGCGGGAAGGCTCATCGTTTTCCAATTCAATTCAAAACTCACCACTGCCGCGACAACCATGGGCTCTGCGAAAAACCCACATTCAGTATCACAAATTCAGCGAGTTTCAGCCCTCGCATTCCTCTGTTAATATAAAGCTTTAGGATATTTTAAAAGCTTGTAAGTCACAAAACAGGGAAAATTCGGGAAGGCCCTATAGGAAGGATAATGCTAAAGGTACATAATGATCTACATAAGGGTCTACATAATGCAGATGTGGCAATCATCCGGTAGTTGATGTGTAAGTGTCATATTTGAATTAAAGGTGAGATCACATGTCACATATGCATTATGTAGACCTTTATGTAGATCCTTATGTACCCCTAGCATTGTTCCTATAGGAATTGGCTCGGATTAAATTGAGTTCTCCTCGTTTCTTTTATCTTCGTTTTTGTATGAAGTAAAAATAGGGTAGATTTCTTTTTAATAAACAATTCGGTAAAGGTTCGTCGTTCACAAGGCTTCGTCATCGATAGGAGACAATGGAAGTAGTGCTAACATTTTTAAATGGTTGTCTAAATATCCTCTTATTGAGTCGAGGTTACCCTTGTCAAGAAAAACTCACGGACACTAAAAAAAAAGAGAATTGTCATCTATGTTAGACAAATGCCCAACTCATAAAAGATTCATGAAGGGAAGAGCACGAATCATGACAATGCTGGATAAAGCAAGTCGCAAAAGAAGAAGATCAAACCCATCATCAAGGATGTGCATATGATCTATTGGGGACTGTGGTTCTACTTATGGGGACTTGAATGCAAAAACAAATAGATTATGGACACATTTGCTACTTAGTGAGGGTTGTGAGACTAATGATGTAATTTTTCCCTTTTCGAATTACAGTTTAATAATCAAATATGTTCTTCACTCGATACTCAATTTTCCCCATCAAACTGGTTGATTCTATCCGATTCTTGCAAAGAATATGTTCTTTTACTTCACTAGAAATAGTTATAGAAGAAAGAAAGACGCCACGAAATTTATGAATTATGGTAAATGTTGTCTTCATCCTTGAGCACCACGGATCACTAACTTCAAACGAGAAATCTACAAACTTATAAGATGTAAAATCATTTAAAAATATCGAGAAACAAAATGGTACAAAGGGGACCCTCCAAAACTTGAGGTCTTCAATGCAAGTATAAATATATATAATGACATAATTATTTGATTGATAATGGCCAAAAAACCATTTGCCGACACTCTTTGGCAGCAAGGCTACAGTAAGTTAAAGAGGCTAGAATCAATCATTAAGTAGACATGGGAGGAGGGCTGGACCACCCCACCTTAAAATCCGGCCAGGCCAAGGTCGGGCTGCAGCCTTGGGACCCAAGTCGTTCGAAAACAGGTTTAAGAAATGCCAGGTATGGGTGGGCCAGTAACTATATTGGCCTGATGCCTAAATGTACTGGTACGACCCACTTGACATAGAGGCTTGTCTCGGTCAGAAATAGTCATGGGAAGCTGACTAGGCCACCCAAGCCAGGATGCAATATGTAAACGAGTATAGGAAACTGCTAGGTCGTGCTGGCCGGCAAACATTGGCCCGCGTGCCTAAATATGCTGGCACGAATCACTTTATATGTATCGTTTTTCTAAGTCATGAAAGCTTCTGAGAGCTTAAGCACGCTATCGTGCATTTTCATTGCACAGTGCAACGCTCAATAACATACAGAACATAGAACAAAAATAGCATACATAAGCATTCTTCGAGCGTAATCACAAAGTGCATGTTTGGTACGATATCAGACAAGACTGAACCGTATAAATATGTAATAAACGAGATTCTAGTTTCTATTTCTTCTTTAATGTTTTTCATTTCTATCCAATCTTTCTACCAAACATGCTAGAAGTGTTCAAGCAGACCCCAATGATTAATATGAGACATTTATTATGAGAAGTCAACAAACATTGCAGCAAAATGCTACCTTAAACTCAACGAGCATCAGCAGAAGTGAACGAATCAGCAAATCCTGCTGGCTTAGCCGGGATACTCCCTTTGCTGTCTTGACTAGTACTGCATAGATCTTGTGAATCTCCTTCTTCTTGCCACCCCTTCAACATTTGAGGAAGTGGCAGCGTGATATCAATTCCTGAATATTTATCTGCTTCTTCGACCGGTTTCCATTTCTCGACCAGTTGGGCAAGAACGTTCACAGCATGTCCCATATCAGGGCGATGATTTGGCTCCCGTGCAGTGCAATGTCCAGCCAGTTCAGCAATAATGTAAATGCTTTCATAGATATCTTCTTTTGCATCAAGAGCACGATCGATAGAAGAAATAAGCATCTCTTTGTTAGATTTTATCTGCCAAAACCACTCAGCCAAGTATCTCTTTTCTTCGGGGCGTTGCTCATCAAGTGCCACTAATCCTGTCAAGATCTCCATCAATACTACTCCAAAGCTGAATACATCAACCTTCGTAGTGATTTTCCCCGTCACTGGAAAGAAAAACACAAATCAACAGAGAAGAATAAAAAGGTGAAAAAAAGATTTGTAATTAATATAAGATCAGTTCCAAGAATCCCTTGAAGAATAATTTCTTACCAGCATATTCAGGTGCAAGATATCCGAAAGTTCCAGCCAACCTGGTTGCAACAGACCTCTCTCGGTCGGGAGCCAATTTCACTAATCCGAAGTCCGCAACTTTTGCCCGATAATTGTCATCAAGAAGAATGTTCGATGATTTGAGATCTCGGTGTATAAAGCTTTGGTGAGCCAAAGTGTGAAGATACTCCATTCCTCGAGCAACATCGAGAGCAATATAAAGCCTTCTCGTCCAAGATATAGGTTCTAAATTCAGATTCTTCCAACGGAAAAGATGTCTACTCAGAGCCCCCTGAGGCATGTATTCATAAACCAAAAGCCTTTCGTTCCCTTCAATGGAGTACCCCAAAAGGGATACCAGATGCCGGTGGCGGACCTTTGAAAGCACGGCAATTTCTGCCTGGAACTCGTCCAGTGCTTTGTTACTAATTGCCCCAGCTTCCATTCTCTTAACTGCTATTGTCGTTCCAGATTCAAATTCTCCCCTGTAAACTGCACCAAAACCTCCACGTCCAAGCTCATTTTCTTGTGCAAAATTATTGGTCACCTTGCGAAGCGCTTGAACTGAAATGACCAGGTTTCCCGCCTCGATTGAACAAGCATCTTTTTCCAACCAATCACTAGTTCGACTATCAGTGCTGGTAGAATTTTGAACCTCCGAGGCAGAATTACCTGCTACTGCAATCTTCACCATATTTTTAGGATCAGATGAATCCTTAGGATGGATAACAATGCCACCAGGAACCTTTTTTGTCTCTCTTCTTTTCTTAAGGCAGTAAATAGCCAAAATAACTGCAAGAAAGGTACCTGAAGCAGAGGCCACAATGACCACTACTTTGGAATTTTTGGCGTTCTCGGGTTTTGCTAATGTAGAACCTATAGAAGGAGAAGGCGGAGAATCCAAAACCGATGATGGATTGTCTGGCTGTGAGTCCATACTTGGTGAAGGACTGTTAATTGGAGAAGGAGACAGTGGCCGACCATCAGTTTGCGAAGGCGATCCCTTGGATCGATTAGCAACCATTTTTGGATTACCATCGGTGATTACCCTCACACCATCATGAAATCTAGGCAATGGCTGATTAAAATTGTTACCACTTAAATCCATCAATCTCAATGATCTCAACAGAGTCAAATTTGCAGGAACTGTACCGTGTAGATTATTTCCACCCAAGCGGATTTCGAGTAATGAAGGCAAGTTCACTAGTGAAGGACTAAGTGTACCATTAAGCCCTAGCTTTGGCAAATTTATGACTGAAACTTGGTGCTTTGGACTACAAGTGATCCCCCACCAAGGTCCTTGACACGGATCATTACCAGCCCATTGAGAAGCAAGTTTTGGGGGATAATTTAAATCATGAAGAAAATCTAGAAGTGCATTGACTTCAGGAGCACATTGCTCTCCTGGATCAGATTGACAGAATGAATTTGAAGCATAACTAAAATTTACTGCTTTAAACTTTGGAATTGGACCCATGAACATGTTATTGTTCAAATCCAGCACTTGAAGATTCATATTGGCCAGGGTTGGGGGAATAAGCCCAACAAGCTGATTTCCATTGAGATTGAGATCTCTTAAAGAAGTTAAATCCCCAATATCATCCGGAATTGATCCCGTGAATTGATTTCCATGTAACCATGCTTGAGTTAGCCCAACCATAGTTCCAATTACATCAATGGAACCGGTCATCCCACCTCCATTTTGATCGTTCAACCACAAAACCTGCAACATGGAATCATGAAAAGTTGACGGTATATCACCAGTCAACCTATTATACGCCAATTTCAATGAAGTAAGCGATGGAAACGTCCCAAAAAAATCAGGTATAGGTCCAACTAAATTGCATTTCGAGCAAGAAAAATTCGCCAACTGCGAAGACTCTGCTAGCTCACCAGGTATAGACCATCCGGTACTCTCATTAAAGGGGTTACTATCCAAAGCCAAAACGCGAACACTACTAAGTCCATGGAAAAAATCAGCAGGAATCGTATCAAAATCATTATTATCCAAGTACGCAAATTGCAAATTCGACAATCCACTAAAACTTGGTAATTTTCCATTGAAATGGTTCCCTTGAAGCCCAAGATTCTGTAGTTTGTCCAATTGATTAAAATTCTGAGGCAAAGGTCCCTTTAACTCGAGGCCCTGAACCTGAATCTGCGTGACTCTACCATTCGAACAAAACACATGAGGCCATGCAGGAGGGCCACAGGGGTCATTCCCCTTGGTAGGCCATTTCAAGAGTTCTGGATTTTCCAATCCATTTCTGAAATCATTCAAAATCTTGAAATCATTTTGATTTGTGACACCATTAACAGCCCCCAAAAGCCCACAAATTACCCCCACAATAACAACAATGCATAATAATTTTCTTTGATCAGAATCCATTTTCCTTGCATTATAACATAACAAAATTTCCAAACAATCCCATTACTTAAAATTAAATTTCTGGGAAACAGAGAAAATGTGCTTA